ATGAGTGGGACAATTATTGGTGCTTCCCCTCTTGACTCCAAATGTGTCACAAGGACAACCTCCAAGTGAATTAACTAAAAGAGGAATGCAAGGATTTGGGTCTACAGATGGATGGAAACCTGGAGCAAAAGTGTGGGTGACACATCCACCCAATGCGGCTCCCCGTGCCGCAAAAGTAGTGGCCCAAGGGCCCCCTGCAACACTCATAGTCATGTATCCAGGAAATAAACAGTTATATGATGTTCCTAAAAATTCTGTTTCTTTGTGTGAATAGATATTCCTGCTGTGTTTGCTATGCTGTGCTGCACCTCCATGTCTGCTGCAGACCTCCACACCAACTAATGCCTCTGTAGGACAACCTTTGACCCTACACTGTTAGACCAACTGCTCTACACCAGTGGGACCTATAACCTGGACTATAAATGGCCGAGAAATTTGGTCTCAGAAACATCAAGCAATCTCTCGGTACAAGCCTATATCTGATCAGTCACACAAAACTAGTTATAATTTCTCTATTACCCTGCCTTCTGTTACCCTCCGTGATGGGGGCTGGTCTGGACTTCTGCAAGCTAGTTTGTTAGGCCTAAGTGTTACCTTATCTAATGTTATCTTTGATGCTGTACATGATTTGCAAGATCAAGTTAATAACATTTCATATTCTAAGGGGTTATTTGATTGGTTGTCTTGGGGTTTGGGTCCTTTATTGCGAGATAGTTTTATAATTATTGTAGTCATTGGATTTTTGGATTCTTGGATGTGCCTTATGTACTTGTGTACGAAGTTCATTGTCTGTGCGTATGGTGTCTTATGGTTAATGGAGACGGCCACGGCCAAATATGTCTTGACATGAGTACAGCCATGTTTGGCCGCTCCATTGACCTGCAGCCACCAGCACAAAAAGAAATACAAAGCTGCTTTCTGTGTGGTGGAAAATGGCCTTTTCCCGGGAACTGGCCTTTCTCCCATGGAGAGAGTTGCAAGTTGTAACATTTCAAGACTCTTGGAGCATTGTAGCCCAGAATGGACTGGCCATCTGTGCCGGGCTGAGACGATAACCAAGGAGAACAATGCACGTACACAACTACTGGGCTGGGATGTTAGCCAAGGGGCTCAGTGCACGTACTCCACTGATAACTATTTTGTGCATGGGAACACTAGATGCTTGCTCTGTAAACTCTGTAACTGCTTATATAAACTACTGGAAACTGAGTCTTGGTGAGAGTTCCACCTGTGGAAGGGACACCTTGCCCAGGACGTGTGATCCTTGCCCAGCCGCATCGATTGACAGGGCTCTCCTGGCAGTGGGGCGTGGATATTGTGAGTAATTGATTTGATGTGAAGTAATTGATTTGATATGAAGTAATTGATTTGATATGAAGTAATTGATTTGATGTGTTCTCTTTTCAGTCAACCTGGTGTTTCTCTTTCCGGTTGATTTGTGTCATTTCTCTTCAGCCGATGTGGATGTTTTCCCTTTCCAGTCGGGCTGATGTTTTTCCCTCTTAATATTTGACCTATTCGGATCTGTTTGCAGACTATTGCTTTTACTATCCTCTATATAATAAAATATACATTCAGTCCATTTGTTTGGAGTGGAAAGTGTCTTTTACATCTCTGATCGAATCCCCAAACCTCTCATAACAGGCACTCACTCTGCAGGGCCAGGCTCAGAGAGAGGCGCTGGGAGCCCAGAGGGTTCTGAGCTTGGCAGGTGAATTCTCCTTCATCTCCGACGTGTACTCGAGGCAGCTCCAGCACCCCAGGGTTCGAGAGCTCTGAGGGGCTGAGGGTCAGTCTCCCCCAGGCCCAGCTGAGCCTGGCAGGTGGGTTGCTGTCAAGAGCACAGACCAGGAGCAAGGACTGGCTGTCCAGGACTGAAAGAGATGAGCCATCATCCAGGACTCTGGGTGCTGGAGAAAAAGAGACAGAGGGTCAGAGAGACATCGAGATCCAGAGAAAGAGGAGGGATACAGGTGGAGACCAGCTGAGAGGGACCAACTCAGACACACAGACAGAAACTGAAAGAGACCCAGACTCTAGGAGAGGGACTCAGAGACAGGGAGTGAGTAGGGGCTAGATCACTCCTCAGGCGCCATCTTTCTCTGCACTCAGTGATGTAGATTCATCTCTGTCCTGATGGGCTGTCTGGCTGGACTCAGGCCCCAGGAGGCACAGAGGGAGGGTCCTGGGCTTTATAAGATGTCATACAAGTTGTCAGCCCTGCCCTGGATCCCTCGTCCCCTTCGCTCAGAACCCAGATTGACCCTGAAAACCCTTTTCCTTCATTTCTGCTTTCACTTGGCACCAGTTTACTGATTTAACGAGGTGTCTGTGAGGGGGCTCACTCTTAGAAACTCACAGTCTGTGGGGAGCGGGGACCCAGGAACAGGTGCTCACACCACATGACACACGTGATGGTGATGACACTGGGCTGCAGGGGCTCTGAGGAGAGCAATGAAAATGAGACTGGCAGAGCCAAGAGGGCTTCCTGGAGGAGGCAGCATGTGAAGTCCAGTGTGAGGGGTAAGAAGAGGCAGTAAGATGATGCTGAGTGGTGGAAGGGAATTGCAGGAAGGAGGAACAGAGAGTGCAAAGAGGACCAAGGCCTGCACATGTCCAGGGAAAAGTGAATAGACCTGCAGGGTTGGAAGGAAAGGGGATGACGATGGGGGTGGCCCTTCAGAGACGAGGCCACAGGAGGAAAAGCGGGGAGTTGTTTTTATAAGCAGAACCAATAGAGCAGAGATTGCTAAATGTGACCACAGACATAAATAGATCCCTAAGCGTTGTAACAGTAACCAACCAGCAAGAAAAAGGTAATGGCATACTGAGTAAAGTGCTCACAACTCCTATGACGGAACAACAGGTAATTCCTCTCACTTGAAAAAAGTTTCCAAGCTTGAGTAATTAAAAGTCAAGTCATGCAGTAGAAGATGAGCAGAGACTATGAAGAGACGGTTCACAGAATAAAAGAAACACAAATGACTCTTCATCAGATAAAATCACGCGCACCATCATGTATAACAAGAGAAATGTCAATTAAAACTACAGAGATTCCAGTGTTCACCTGATATGGTCAAAGACCTAAAAGTCTTATTTCTCCCTCCGGTTTGGTGAGGGTGGGAGAACTTCACCCATGGCTGGAGGGGATGTCAGCTTGTCCACCCTCGATGGAGAATAATTTAGCCATATTTCTCAAAAATAAAGGACAAGGAGAAAAGGAACCCCTGTGCACTGGTGGCGGAAAGGTAAGTTGGTGCAGCCACTGTGGGAAATGGTATGGAGCTTCCTCAAAAAATTAAAAATATAAATACCACATGGTCCAGCTATTCCACTTTTGGGTGTATATTGGAAGAAAATGAAAACACTAATTCAAAAAGATATATGCATCCCATGTTCACTGCAGCATTAGCCACAATAGCCAAGACTTGGAAACAACCTAAATGCGCATTGACAGATGAATGGATAAAGGAGAAGTGCTATATACATTGTGGAATGGAATACTACTCAGCCATAAAAAACAATGCAGTCTTGTCATGTGTGACAGCATGGATGAAACTTGAGGGCATTATGCTAAGTGAAATAAGTCAGACAGAGAAAGATAAATACTGAATGATCTCATTGATATGTGAAAACTAAAAAAGAAATAAAAGAGGAAGCTCATGGATACAGAGAACAGATTGGTGGTTTCCAGAGGCAGGGGGTAGGGTGTACAAGCTTCCAGTTATAAAATAAATAAGTCTTGGGGATGTAATGTACAGCATAGTGATTATAGTTAACAATACTGTATCGCATATTTGAAAGTTGCTAAGAGAGTAGATGTTAAAAGTTCTCGTCACGAGGATAAAAAATTCTGTAGCTATGTACAGTGATGGATGTTAACTAGACTAATTGTGGTGATAAATTCACAATGTATGCAAATGAATCATGACGTTCTACACTTGAAACTACTATACGTCAGGTATCAATTATACCTCAATAAAAAAATTGAAAGAACACAGGACCCAGCTCTTTAACATTTAGGAATTTATCCCAAAGAAACACACACACACACACACACACACACACAACAAAGGAGACACGAGATTGTTCATTGCAGTGTTTCCATTAGTAGAATAAAGTGAATGTCTTGGTTTTCCACTAGGAGAAGATGTGTACAGAATAAGAATCCATCCAGGCGACGGAATCTTGCACAGTCACGGAGAAGAATGAGGATAGTCTGTACTACTGATGTCACAGGACTCCTGAGACTCTTTAGGTGAACAAGCCAAGGCTTGGAGCAGCCTATGGACACTGGTCACTTCACAGGAGGGGACAGGGCATCTGAGGACAGACTCTGCAGTGCATTTTGAATTTTTGGCCATGTGAATATATGACCTGTTCAAAAGTACTTAAATAAGCAATTGTTAGGGAAAATAAAAAGACGAGGCTGGAGGAGTTGTCAGGGGACAGGCTATAAGGGACCTTGAAAGGAAGGCTCTGATGTGAATGTTGTCCTGTTCTCCTTATGGAGCCAAGGGTGGTGGAGAAGTCGGAGATGAGTGAGGGGCCGCTGGGGACAGCTGCTCACAGTGGCCATGGGGGCTGAGGATGAGAGGGAACACTGGGTTCACCCACAAGGGGGTCTTTGGTCATTGAAGTGAGTCCAGGGTGAGGCAGGGACCCAGCCCCACCCTGAGCTGAAAGAGGACCTACTCCCTACAGCCCAGGAGGGATCGCCTCCTACCTGTGCTGTTTCCTTGAATGAGAGTTACAGTCAAGTTCTGTGGAGAGTCTGGGACGGAAAGACATGAATCTTTATCAGCGGTGAGGGCTGGGTGGACATGGGTCCTTGTCCCCAGAAACTGCATAAATGTGGGAATGGTGGAGGTGGGCATCCGCCTAAGTCCCTCCCAGCCTAGAGTCTGAGGCCCAACACCCAGTATCAGAGACCCTGACAACTCCGTCCCCACTGCCCTCAGCACTCCATCAGGGACCAAGGTGTCCTGGCCCAGCAGTCACAGGACATGTTGAGGTGGATGGTTCTCATTGTGGACACTCCAGCCCCAGGAAAGGTCACCTGACAGGTGAGGTTGATGCCATGGTCCTGGAGCCATGGGGTGAGGGTGAGCACTGAGGAGAGGTGGGTCCTGGGGCCCAGGGAGGTGAGGGCATGTGATGTCCAGGAGAAAATGGGGGGCGTGCCCCACTCACAGGCCCAGGGCACAGAGAAGTTCATGTTCCTGTGGTTGCCAGACTCCAGGGTCCCCGGGATAAGGATGAGGGGTATGTGGGTCAGGGCTGGTGAGGTGAGGAGACATGGGGATCAGGACGGACAGTCCTAGGTGTGGCCCTGAGAGAAACCTCAAGCTTTGCTTCAGCTGCTCCCTCTGAGCCCTGACACACTGACTCTCCAACCCTCTCCCAGGAATGGGGTCCCATCCCAGCCCTGCCCCAGGACCCACATGTCCTTCCCTGTGAGCCCCGTGTCCTGGAGCCCACTCTTTACCCGTAACATGCACAGAGAAAAAGTTAGATTTATAATTCCATTTTGTTCTTCCTCTCTCCACCCAAAAAAAGTATGAACCATTGGCTCTCCTCCTGGTGTCTCTGATGTCCAGAGAGCAGTCATTGGTCCGGGGGTCTCCCAGGAGGTAGAATCGGCCCTGGGTCTCCTCCTGCACTTTATGATCTGGGTTGTTTGTGGCCACAGGAGCAACCTGCTGTGGATTTTCCCCTTCCCGGAACCAGTATCCATGAGCTGGGGTAGAGTCATTCCAGCCATACCGTGGGTAGACGACAGTGCAGGGCACTCAGACACACAGGCCCCCCTGCGCCATCACTGACTCCTGTACTTGCAGCCTGAACATTCCACTCTGTGCCAGGGACCCTGCAGTAAAAGGAGGATCAGCAGCAGCTCCTGCCCCATCTGCCCCCTCTCCCCTCAGCCCACTCACCTGCCCACAGCAGGGGCGGCAGCAGTGGCAGCATGTCTGAAATGGAAAGTTCTGGGCGTTTGTCCCGTGTCTCAAAAGAGAAGGAGAAGGCAAGTGGGAGGGGAGTTGCCGGAAGACACATGGGAAGCTGCAGAGGAACACGTGACCTTGGTCATTCACAGATGAGGGACTGCAGACCAGAGCTCGCCCCCTCTCTACACACCCCACTGCTCAGAGACCCTGAGTCCACCCCAGAGAGGAGCAGACAAGGAGCAGACCCCATGTTCTGTGCCCGTCTCAAAGTTTCCCTCCAGCACTGGAGCCTGGACCAGGACCTCTGAGGACATCTGAGGAGTGGGACATGGTGAGTCTCTAAGGGCCTCCCCTCTGGGGTGCTTTTCTGAGCCCTGTTGTCTACACCAGGGAGCTGGTCATCTCCTGCTGACCCAGGAGGGTCACAGACTCATCTAGACCTCCAATGGATGGTCCTGCTGGTTATAGGTTTCTTTAGGGTCTGTGTTGAGTGTCTGGGGCAGAGGAAATGAAGGGGAACCTAGGTGTGGTGAGGGCAGCAGCCAACCATTCATTCATTCATTCTCCAAACACTTAGTCAGCATTCATGTGTTGGGGAGGTGGAGACACGAAGGGAGATGACCCACCTGGTCCATGCCCATGAGATGTTCCCACGCAGTGGAGTCACTTCCTCCCCAAACACTCAGTGTTGTTGAGCTTTAGAGCTGCAGTCACTGATGAATTTGCTGTGTGTCCTGGAAGAACACATGGCATTGTCTAAAATATAATTATGGGATTTTTTTTGACATCTGGTCAAAATAAAACCCCCCCAAACCAAATAACAACTCTTTTCAAGAGTACAACTTGAAACTCTATTCCGTGAAACAAGAACTTCCCAATTCCCTCCACCTCCCAGCCCCCAGCAATCACTGTCCCATTTTCTGTCTCTAGGAATTTGACTAATTTAGATGCTTCATATAGGGGAATCATATAGTATTTGCCTTTTTTGTGACTGGTTTATTGCACTTACCACAATGTCCTCAAGCTTCACCTACGAGGCAGCACATCTTAGAATTCTTTCCTTTTTAATGCTGAATAACATTATGGCAGGTGTACATTACATTGTGTTTATCCATCCATCCACTGAGGGATGCTTGGGTTGCTTCCACCTTTTGGCTATTGTGAACATTGGTGCTGTGAGTATGGGTGTGCAAATATCTCTGAGTCCCTGCTCTCGATTCTTTTGGATAAATGCCTAGAAGTGGAATTTCTGGGTCATACAGTAATTCTATTTTTAACTTTTTGAGGAACCACCACTCTCTTATCTTCCTTCACTTGTTTTTTTTTTTCCCTCCCTCATCTGTTGTCGTCATCTTACACTGACTGTACATGTTAACATCTCCAGTCTGGACCTCTCTCCTGCTCTCTAGACATTCATATCCAGCTCTCTAGCTGACGTCCCCAGTTGGCTATCAAGTGGCTTCTCTGAATGGTCAACACCCTTCAAAATCCTACTCTCTGTCATCCTCTATGGAACACAGCTGCATCCTTCCAGTTGCTCAGAGGAAAGACTTCGGCACCATCCTTGCTCCTCTTTTTCCCCCTCTTACCACATCCATCAGAAATTTCAGTCAGCTTGACTTTCAAAATGTTTCTCAAATATATCCTCCCCACCTACACAATGTCCTGGTCCACGGTGCCACCCATGGTTGTACATTCTTCTAGCTGCTCTATGTGGGACGCTGCTTCAGCATGGCTTGATGAGCCGTGAATAGGTCTGCACCCAGGATCTGAACCAGCAAACCCCCAGTCACCAAATTGGAGAGTGCGAACTTAAACCGCTGCGCCACTGGGCTGGCCCCTGAAAAGCGGGTGTTTGTTTTTATAAACTCAAAGTGGGAAAAGCAGAAGCCACAGAGAACAGATTGATAAATGTGACCACAGACATAAATAGATCCCTAATCATTGTAACAATTACTTAGAAAATAATCCATAACTATGTGTGGTGGCGGACGTTAACTAGACTAATTGCGGTGATCATTTCACAATATACACAAACATCGAATTATTTTGTCATACACGGGAAACTAACTATGTTATATGTGAATTATACCTCAATAAAAAAATAGAAGGAGCACATGAAACAGCTCTTTGGCTTTTAGGAATTTATCCCAAAGGCATACACACAAACACACACACACACACATACACACAAGTGAGAAAGTAGATACAAGATTATTCATTGCAGTGTTTCTATTAGCAGAATAAAATTAATACAATGATTTTTCCATTAGTAGATTATGCATATAAAATCAGAATCCGTTAAGGCTATAGAATACTGCACAGTCACAGAGCAGAATGAGAACAGTCTGTACTACTGACATCAAATGACTCCTGAGATCCTTTAGGTGAACAAATCAGAGCTCAGAGCAGCCTATGGACACTGGTGACTTCCCAGGAGGGGACTGGGCATCTGAGGACAGACTCTGCTGTGCACTGTGAACTTTCGACCATGTGACTATATTACCTGTTCAAAAGTACTTAAATAAACAATTATTAGGGAAAATAAAAAGACAAGGCTGGAGGAGTCGTCAGAAGATGGGTGATAAGGGGCCTTGAGAGGTGGGCTCTGCCCTGTGAATGTTGTTCTGTTCTCCTTGTGGAGCTGAGGGGGCATGGAAGAGTCTGAGGGGAGTGAGGGACCAAAGGGGACAGCTGCTCACAGAGGCCATGGGGGCTGAGGATGGGAGGGTCTACTGGTTTCACCCACAAGGGTTCTCTGGTCACTGGGGTGAGTCCAGGGTGAGGCAGGGAACCGGCTCTGCCCTGAATTGGAAGAGGCCCTGCTCTCTAAAGCCCAGGAGGGGTCTCCTTCCTACCTGCACTGTTTCCTTGGAAGACAGTTACGGTCCAGTTCTGTGGAGAGTCTGGGACAGAAAGACAAAGTGGACCTGCATCTGTGGTGAGGGCTGGGTGGACGTGGGCCTCTGTCTCCAGGAGCTGCATAAATGTGGGAAGGATGCAGGTGGGCATCCTCCTGACCCCACTCCCAGCCCTATTTCTGAGGTCCAGCAACAATATCTAAGACCCTGACACCAACATCCCCACTGTCCTCAGGACCCTATCGGGTACCCTGGTGTCCTGGCAGCACTCACAGGACACATTGAGGTTGATGGTATTTGTCCTGATCACTCCAGCCCCAGGAAGGTCACTCGACAGGTGAGGTTTGTGCCATGGTCCTGGGGCTGTGGGTTGAGGGTGAGCACTAAAGAGAAGCGGGTCCTGGGGCCCAGGGTGGTGAGAGCTGATGTCATCCAGAAGACAGGGGTGTGACCCACTCATAGGCCCAGGACACAGAGCAGGTCAAGTTCCTGTGGTGGCCAGACTGAGGTGAGGGTCCCTGGGCTGAGGATGTCAGACATGCAGGTCAGGGCTGGTGAGGAGAGAGGGAGACATGGGGATCAAGAGAGGTGGTCTGAAGTACGGGCCTGAGAGAAGCCTCAGGCTTTGGTCCAGCTCCTCCCTCTGATCCCCAACACACTGTACCCTTAACTCTGTCCCAGGAGCGGAGTCCCATCCTAGTCCTGCCCTGGGGCCCCCATAGCCTTGACCTGTGGCCGTTTCTGGAGTCTACTCCTTACCCATAGCACACACAGAGAAGGTTAAATTTGTAATTCTGTTTTTTACTTCCTCTCTCCACTCAAAAAAAGTACTTTCTGTTGTCCTTCCTCCTGGTGTCTGTGATGTCCAGGGAGCAGTCATAGGTCCGGGGGTCCCCGAGGAGGAAGAACTGGCCCTGGGTCTCCTCCTGCACTTTTAGATCAGGGTTGTTTGTGGCCACAGGAGCATCCTGGTCAGGACTGGCCCCTTCCCAGAACCAGTAGCCTTGAGCAGGAGTAGAGTCATTCCAGCCATCCTTGGGGTAGGAGAAGGAGCAGGGCACCTGCACACACAGACCCTCCTGCACCATCACTGACTCCCACACTTGCAGCTGGTAACCCTTGTTATTTGTCCAGGGGTCCCTCTGGCCCTCGGCCTCCTCCCTCCAACAGAGCAGGGCCAGCAGCAGCAGCTGCATGTCTGGGGTTGGCAGTCATAGGTTACTCAAGAAAGTCTGTTTCTCATGGCTCATCTCTCAGGAACTGAAAGTTGCAAGATTTAGAAGAGGCTTCAACAGGAAGAAGAGGGTGAGGTCAGAACAGTGACCTTCACCAGTGGAGGAACTTCACACCCAGACCTGTTGGGGCCGGGACAGCCCATGGAGTCAGCCATCCCCCACCCACCCTAGCTGGAGGAGGGACTCAGGGTCACGAAATATGAGGGAGGCTGACTGACCTCCCTCCCTCAGCATCCACATGGTAGGCCTCCCCTCTCTGCTCTTGAGGTCACACACCAGCCCCAGATGCTGCCCCGAGAGTCACTGTCCAGTGGGGAGGCAAGAAGTGTCCCAGCCCCTGGAGCTCCCTGTTACAGAGGCTGCGATGGGGCTGTACAGGCAGGGTGGCGTGTCTCTCTCCCTGGGTTGGAGGCTGAGTCTCAGAAGGACTGGGAAGAGGGGACACTCAGGTGATGGAGGCCAGGATTCTGTGTGTTAACACAAGCCTAGAATGTCGAGGGGAGTCTGGCTTGCAGGATGCCTGAGAAACTGAGGCTGTGATTCTCTGTACAGTGGAGTTTGGAAAGGAAGAAAGTGCAGAAGGGAAGGGGCAGATTTTGAAAGGGATAAAAACTTCCCCCTTTGTAGCAGCTGTTTGGGCACCAGGACAAATTTGTTTTTTTAAAAAATTATTTCATTGAGGCTTATAACATTTTGAAAATTTCAGGTGCACATTATTATATATGAATTTCTATATAGGCTGCATCATGTTCACCACCAATAGTCTAGTTTTTTATCTATTACCGTATATATGTGCCCCTTTACCCCTTTCACCCTCCCACCACCCCCTTCCCCTGTGGTAACCACTAATCTGTTCTCCTTATCCATATATTCGTTTATCTTCCATATATCAATGAAATCATACAGTGTTTGTCTTTCTCCGTCTGACTTATTTCGCTTAGCCTAGTACCCTCAACTTCCATCCATGTTTCACAAATGGCAAGATTTCATCCTTTTTTATATCTGAGTAGTATTCTACTGTGTATATATACCACATCTTCTTTATGCATTCGTCCCTTGATGGGCACCTAGATTGCTTCCAAGTCTCAGCTATTGTGAATAATGCCGCAATGAAGATAGGGGTGCGTATATCTTTACACATTCGTGTTTCCATGTTCTTTGGATAAATACCCAGCAGTGGAATAACTGGATCATGGTAGTTCTCTTCTTAATTTTTTTGAGGAATCTCCATACTGTTTTCCATAGTGGCTGCACCAGTTTGCACTCCCACCAGCAGTGTATGAGAGTTCCCTT